ATATTTAATTTTTTTTAAAATTATTCGTAATATCATGATTGTTCTTATATATAATTAATAAACATATTAAATGCAGGTGTAAACTAAATATGTATTTTGATTCTAATTACTCAATTAATTTATTTCAATAAAAAAAATTAAATTTTGTAAAATTAAAAATATTATATAAAAATAAAATAAATTATTTTATTATTTTCTTACAAAAAAAAAATAAAAATTTTATTTTAAATTTTGCTGTTAATTATTTATTAAATGTAATTATTTTTTTTTTCAAGTTTTTTTTTATAATATATATATTTTTTTAATTTTTTTTTTATTTAGATGTCTGATGATAACAATGAACCTATGCCAGTTGTAATTGAAGGTAATAAAAATGTAAGAAATGAAATCGATCGATGGTTAAAAAGTAGCTAAATTGATTTCAATTACAAAATTACTACAAATTTTTTTACTGGTGAAAAAGAAAATCATTCTGATGTAATTGATCTTTGGAGAGAAGATTATGAGATATCTGAAAATAAGACTAAGTTTAAAATCATGAAAATAACCAAAAAAAATGAATTAAAAAATCAACATGTTTCTGGTATAAAAGGTTCTGTTAAAACTGGAAAAAAAATTGAGGTTTTTTTATTATGTTTTGATACTAGTGATGATAAAATTACTTATGGTTGTATTTCTGGTAGTATTTTAATTACATCAGAAAATAAGGAAATGGTTGAAAAAATTAGAGGTCATCTTGAAGAATTAGCTTGTATTATTTTTTTTAAATCAAATCCAGAATATAAAGTAAAATTTATTGGAAATTAATTTTTTTTTCTTTATATATATTTTTTTTATTTTATTAGAAAATAAATATTCTAATCAATTTTAACTCTAAACAAGTATTGAAATTACATGAAACAAATCCAAACTATGAATATCAAAAAACAGTAAATGATTTTGTTTCTGATCCTGAAGTTTATGAAGCAATAATTGAAAATTGGATTGAGGAGTATGGTAAAAATATTAAAGATTCTTTAGAAAAAGATAATTATTTTTTTGAAATACGTACTTCTGATAATATTAAAATTTTTATTTTATTATTTGTTCAAAAAAATGAAAAAGAATATCGTTATATTAGTATTGATTTTAAAATCAACAAAGATATTCTCGATGATTATTTTTTTATTTTGTTAGAAAATAATTGTAAAGAATATAATTTTCAAAATAATTATATTAAAGAAACAAAATAAATTTATTTATTTAAAATAAAAAATAAATTTTGTAAAAAATATAAATATAAATGCTTTGTTATGATTTTTTTAATTAAAAATGCCAAAAATTTTAAAAGAAAGAAAATTAAAGACGAAAACTGAAAAAACTATATTTTCTATTTGTAGATTTAAAAGTATAAAATGTATTCAATTAGAAGAAAATGAAGAAAAATATGAATTTTGTTTTAAAAATAATTTTGATTGTTTAAAATATAAACCGTCTTTAATGGAAAATGAAATAAAAAGATTAAATATTGTTGTTAAAAATCATGAAAGTAGAATTCAAAACTTCGAAGAACGAGTTCAATCTTTAGAAAAAGATAATACTGTAGTAAAAAATAATCTTTTACAACAAAAATTACTTTTAAATCAATTAGATTTTCTTTTATCATCGTAGTTTATTATTCTACATTAGGAAATATATAATTTATTTATTAATATTAAATTAAATTTTAAATATAAATATTCATATTTTTTTCTCTTGTTAAAATTAATGTCTTTTTTACTACCAGAAATAATTGAACGAATAATTTATTTTTATTCAGAATCATTAATTTTTAATGATTATTATGAAAGTATTGATTCAAAACAACATCCAAAAAAACTTATTGATAATATACGTTTTGTATTACATGATTTAAAACAATTATTTGAATATTCATTTAGACAAATATATTTTGAATTTTATCATATAAATGAAGTTACTACTCTTTCTAAATTATCATTAAAATATATAAAACGATATGAAGAATATTTTGATCCAACAGTAAAAATGATTAATTTTTTTAAACAAAAAGAATGTAAAGAATTATTTTTTTATGAATCAATTATTTTGAATACTATAATCGATTGTAATGATTCTATTGCAACTATATTTACTGATTTGTTTATAAAAATTGGTATTTTTAAGATTTTTTCTTTTGGTGTAGATTTTATTCTTAGTAAAGAATGTAATTGTTCTGGTTCTGATAGTAAATCTTAGTTGATTTTAAAGCAATCAAAAGATAAAAAATTTTGGTATTATACATGTAGAAGATGTCAATTTTATGAAGTAGTAATTAATTATTCAAAAAGAAAATCTAAAAATAAATCTATAAAAAGAAAAAGAGTTAAATTTTAATATAAATATAACCATTATTAATTTTATTCAATAAAAAAATGAAATTATTTTATTTATTTTTATATTTTATAATTTTTGTATCAATTATTTATCAATTAGAAACATATGCTTCCTGTTGTCAATGATCTAATCAATTTATATATAAAAATTCATATTCATCAAAAACTATACAAAGATGTAGCTGTTGTAAAAAAACAGGACATAATATACGAACATGTAAAAATAAATGTTTGTAAAAAATATATAAATATATATTGGTAACAAAGAATATTTATTTTAAGTTAATAAAATGAAGAAAGAAGAAATATTATATTATTACAAAGTTTTGGGATTAAATAAACGAACAACTGATGTAGAAATTAAAAAAACTTATAGAAAATTGATTTTGATTTGGCATCCTGATAAAAATATCAATAACAAAGAAGAATCTGAAAAGAAAACAAAAGAAATTACTGAAGCATATAGAATAATCACAGAATACAGAGAAAAATTTAAAAGAACAAAAGATAAAAAAACCAAACCAAAAAAACAACCAAAGCCAAAGAAACAACCAAAAAAACCAAA